ATGCCTGGAGCCCCTGATCAGGCTTTCTGGGGACAGGTTGTACATTCCTCGGGGGCCAGGGTTTGCTATCTGGGAGTTTATTTTGGTGCAAAAACATTTTGAAATCCATGCATAGCTTTTCCAAAGTTCTCTCATAAGCTTGTCTCCTGGGGCACCTTAGTTCTGTGTGGCCTTGAGAATGGCCCCATGGCTGGCCATAGAGAGGCCACCTCCCTGCCCTTCGTGGTCAGTCTCGTTGGGGCAGGCTAGGGAAACAGGCACTGGCTTTCGATGGTGAAACTAGGGAGGGGTGGCCCGGCCCTCTTGTCTGCCACTGTTGATTGTGTCGTCACGCCTCCGGCTTGTGTTATGTTTGTTTTATTGTGTGTGCTTTGGGACCTGGCTACTAAGGAGATGGAAAACCATGCCCAGTGTTGGAGGGAGACGGGTCTGCATTGAGCAACCATCCATTCAAGTTGCACCCAGGGCGTGGGGTGTGATGTCAGCTTCTGGCGCTGTCCTGGAATGAGCCGGTGCTGCTGAGACAGGTGGAGTGCGGGCGTATCTCTTCCCGCCCTTCTGGGGCTGGTGTACATCTTCTCTTCCTCCATCGTTCTGTGACTTGGAAGACCTATCTTTTCCGAGGGTGCTTCAGGGCTCCCCCTGAAATTTTCCAAAGCAAGTATACTCACTTCCTTGGGCCTCAGTTCCCCCATCTGTAACATGAGATGCATGGGCTAGAACTGGAGCTTCATGAAGCTCCAGGCTTCCTCAGGGATGCTTAGGAGTTCCTTGAATACTTAATAAAAATAATTATTTAAAACGACTTTAAGGTGTGAGCCAGGTGTGGTGACACATGCCTGTAATTCCAGCTGCTCAGGAGGCTGAGGCGGGAAGATCATGAGTTTGAGGCCAGTCTGGGACCATAGTGAAACTTTAGGTCAAAAGAAAACAAAATCCCCCAAAACATGAAGGTCCAGCTGCCATAGTGCAGGTGTACAGTGCTCTGCCATACTGGAGCTGTGTGGGAGGCTTGGGTTTGGATTCTGGGTCGGCCAGAACGCTCCAAGTGAAACCATGGTTGTGGCTCGCTGGGAGTCTGGGGCAGGATCGTGGCATGATGAGATCCTGTTGAGAGTACCTATCTCTTTCCATTTCTTTTGGGAGATT